GTGACTAGTTTGTGTCTCTCTGTCCATCTGGAGCACAGAGGAAACTTGCAGGAGGAGAGTGGAGAATGCACAGGTGTATCCTTTTACTCTTGAAGTATAAAAGAGCCATGGCACACAGCTGGAACACACACATCATTTAGTTATTTAAGTTCACCAGCAGCATAACCTGTTCTTTAACTTGTACACGTCTGAAAAATAAAGCTCACATTACCCGGGGTTGGGCTGGGAAAGGCACACTGTAGCTGCTTCCTTGGCTGGAGTTTGGCGTCTTGTCTTGTCCTGTGTCCTTGACCTTCTTGCTTATTATTGGGTCTTCTCTTTGGTTTTATGGTTGCTTATTGTTATATTAGATTTTCAGATTATTTTATATCTCAAACTTTTGCTCCTCTTTATTGATACTTGTATTTTTGCTTAGGGCTTATTTCATATAATATATATAATAATAATATAATAATTCTTCAATAGCCTTGTTCCTTTCATCTGTGTGAAGTTTAAGTGGATTTTGGTATTTTATTTGTGTTTAGTAAGTTACTTCCTGTTTTATTTTGGTAGTAGTGATGGGATTTCCGGCTCTTTTTAGAGAACCGGTGTTGTGCCAAAAAGTGATTGTCTGCCAAAAAGTGATTTCCAATGTTTCTGTGTATTTTTTATGTGTAATATCTTTATGTATGTTTGTAAACAGAATTCGGTGAACAGGGTTTACAAAGGGGTTAGACATAGAATTAAAAAAATATCTGTTTTTCAAGTATCTTTACAACTCTGTGTCATTGTACTTACATTATAACCAATTCGGTCCTTTATCCCCACTTAAAATATTTTTACAAAACTATTGTAATAATTGCTGCCATTTCTGCTGTCCTCTTGGCCAGCTTACTCTTACAAAAGACATTTTTAATGTTAATGATATTTTTTAACTGCATAAATAAAGGTTATATAAAAGTCAATGCCAAAAACTGATTGCAGCTTCTACCTTGTTACATGAATGTTGTTTGTGGCTCAAGATGACTTTCTATCATCCATAAGGGATGCATTTGACATATGTTTAACATATTATAGCCCAGCAAGTTACTTATAGCAGTTTAAATACGAGCAATCAGTTTTTGGCAGACAATCAATTTTTGGCACAACACCGGCTCTTTCGGCTCGGATCACTAAAAAGAGCCAGCTCTTTCGGCTCTGAACTGGCTCTTCAGGTGGTTTTGTTGCTTTAATTAATTTATTATTAACAATAATATAAAATTATGCACAAAAGAAATTACTAATGTAAAAAAAAAAAGTGGTTTTATTTATATATGTTTATGTATAAATATATGTGCTGGCCCCTAGAGACAAAGCACGTACAAACTCCAAAACACATTCCTAGAGTTAACTGAACTTCCAAAACAGAGCTACCTAGATCACTTAAATTACACAATTGAAAGCATATGTGTATGGTTTGTGCATTTATACACAAGCACTCATATATATTCAAACAATTTTTTAAAAAAAAGTTCATTTACCTGTTACTACCATATACCAAACCCGGTCGTTGGTACTTGCTGGATTGTGTAGCCTCTAGGTAACAAAAGCTCAACACTGCGCCCAGCATCCTGGAACACATCTGTTGTGTTTTGTACGTGTTTTGAAGTTTTTACGTGTTTTGAAGTTTGTACGTGTTTTGTCTCTGTAGGGGCCACCGTAAATATACTTTTATTTATTCACTCCACATAAAATGTAATAAATAAATTATATATTACAAAAACCAACTAGTCACAGTTTAGCTTTTAACTATTTAAATTTTCAGCTTTTTCCTTTTAAACAAATTTAAAATGAAACAATATTAAACACTACAAACCACAACACAATTAAATATAAATTAAAATATGAAAACAAAAAGAAGATGCACATTCTCTGTCATGAATAAACTTTCTGAATCCTTTATCATCTGCAACTGAAAATAGTTGTGGATGATTACTGTACCTTTCTAATGTGACGTTGTTGTCCCTGGCTCTCTTTCTCTCTCTCTCCCTCCTGCTCGGTTCCTGTGCTACTGCGAGTAACTACCACCCCTCCCCCCTCTTCCCAGCGCAAAGCACAAGACTCGCATGCGGAGTGAAGTGGAAAAAAGTGCAAGAGAGGGTGAGAGAAAGAAAAAGAAAAAAAAACCACGGCTTGCCTCATTCATGTCAAAGATCCGGCTCTAAGAGCCATTTCCTACACGTCACTATTTGGTAGTCTCGTGCCTTTCTTGCTTCTACTTTTCTTCCTGTCGCTCTGGTTTCACTGTTTTTGACTTACCTATTTTAACTTAAAAAAAACAAATCCTGATAACGGGTAATGTGTGAAACAGTATAAATAGCCTTGCCCTCAGTCGTTGGGCATCTGTTAGCCCTCCCTCTTGTTCCTTGTTTATTCTGAGTTTTGTTTTGTTTTAGGTCACCTTTCTGTTTGTGTTGTGGACTTTGTATTTATTTACACTGCTTTAACAACTTTATTTAAGGTCGGTTTTGAATTTCGTCCTGCATTTGGGTCCAAATTCACCTTTGGTCTCCTTGTTGCACTTGAGCTATTTCTGAACAGCGCCCATTTTATTTTTCAAAAATCAGGCCAGTAGTGATCCACCATGTCAACTGCACAGTTTATTCAGATTTCACTTTTGTATTACAGGGATAAAATAATAATAGAAAAATGTCAAATGCTGTGTGAAACAAAAAATGTGGTCTGTTGTAGGCATTCAGTTGTTTTTTGACTGCGGGAAAGTGAGCCGTCATTTGTGAGCCGCGGTCAAGCCAAGGAAATTTATGCGGCGGATAAGAGGCGGCTGGCCTCTTATCCGCCACATAAATTTCCTTGCGCTTTTACACAAGTCTTTACAGTAGCGCCTTTTCGCTTTATATCCTGATTGAAAGCCTAGATCCGCGCGCACACAAATTACAATGGAACAATGGAAATACAGCCATCGTGACAGTCTGGTTGCATATTCAAAAATTCATTAAAAATCATTCTTAACAGTTGATGCCAAGCTTTCAACACAATCCTCTTCTGGAACACCTACTTTACCTCTGGGCCAGGTTTTACCCAGATTTACTGTAATATTAGTCAGAAATTACAGGAAATTTGTATTCAATGCAATACAGTTAATACACTACAATTATGTCTATTTCAGAAATTCATTAAAAATCATCCTGAACACTTGAGGTCCAACTTTCAACACATTTCTCTTCTGGGACACCTACTGTACCTCTTTACCAAGTTTCATCCAGATCTACTGTAATATTACTCAGAAACGACAAGAAACTTGTATTCAATTCAATACAGTCAATACAATTATGTCAATTTCAGAAATTCATTAAAAATCATCCTTAGTAGTTGAGGTCCAACTTTCAACACATTCCTTCTCTGGGACACCTACTGTACCTCTGGGCCAGGTTTCATCTCAATCCGCTGCATCAATAATTGTTTAATATTGATGGATCAAAAGTGCTGCTGAGAGAGTCATAACAGGGACTATAAAGAGACAGCATATTTGCTTGTCTTCACTGACTCGCTTTGAAATCCAGATTTTAATTTTGGAATATTAGGTGTACTTGTGGTTCCTATAGAATTTTAAGGTTGAACAGGAATCAGTCTTCATCTCTCAGGCCTCTCTTCTGTGGATGCAGCTTACATCATTCTGTACAATACGATAATTTTTAATTCTACAACTGTTTATAACCTGCATAGTTCACATTTCTGTATAGCTGTATATCTCATATTTCTGTATAGTTTTTTTTTCATATTCTGTATAGTTTTTCATATTTATATCCTGTTCATAGCTTGTACTCACTACAGCCTGTACATACTTATAGTTATAGCATATTCATAACATACTTCATACCGTGTACATTGTAACATACCATAATAGACCCATTTCTGTAATATACTTACATACCTATATTATTGCTAATATATATTGTAATATATCTATATCATGGCTAAAGCACTTCTTGATGGATGCAAACTGCATTTCGTTGCCTTGTACCTGTGAAATGTGCAGTGACAATAAAGTTGAATTCTATTCTATTCTATTCTATTCTATTCTATATTAATTCAGAAGACAAACACCCGTCTCTGCTTTTGAGATTAGCATTACAACCCTCAGTTTTGACAATTAATACAGTTATAGTGGATCAGGTGACCCTGAATCTTCCCTTATTTGTGCTGCAATAAGCCTAGGCTCTTGCGGGCTTCCCATCATGTATGAATTTTTTCCTTCTTTGCTCGTTCTGTGTTTATACACCTCTCTGCATTTAATCATTAGTTAGTATGTATCTCTTGCACAGTGTATATGTTGTCCTGTCTCCTTTTCATCAACCTCAACCAGTCACAGTAGATGGCTGTCTCTCCTTGAGCCTGTTTCTGCCAGGTGTTTCTACCTCTTCAAATGGAGTTTTCCCTTCCCACTCACACTAAATGTTAGCACATATGGGGTACTTAAATTGTTGGGGTTTTCTTTGTATTATTGTTGTGTTTTTACATAAAGTGTCTTTAGGTGACTGTTGTTGTGATTTGGTGCTGTATAAATAGAATAGAATAGAATTGAATAGAATACTGTACTTCAGACCGGGAGATTGGCAAAATGTATAAATAGGATGGCGATTAGGGGAATTGGAGACAGCTGTGTAACACAGCAGGGATACATTGGGAATAAGAAGACAGTGGACGTAAGACTCAACACAAGAAAGAGACAAGAGGCCACCAAACTAAAACACAGACTAAGACACACGAGTTTGACACAGACAAAACCATAAACAGACATAAATCTCCATTGTAATTTGTGTGTGTGCGCGTGCGACTGTTCGCGCGCGTGCACGGGTGCGCGGGTCTAGGCTTTCAATCGGGATATAAAGCGAAAAGGCGCTACCGTAAAGACTTGTGTAAAAGCGCAAGGAAATTTATGCGGCGGAGAAGAAGCGGCTGGCTTGACCGCGGCTCACAAATGACGGCTCACTTTACTGCGGTTATTATTTTTGCAGTCCGGCAGTTTCCAGTGTACTTTTTAAAATGAACGTATGAGCGGTGACATTTCCATCGCTGCCCCTGAAGATACCTCACTCCTGTCATGCAAGAGTCCATTCAATTGGGAAATTTGGCAGTAAGTCGACTAACACACCATCACAGGAGGAGTTAACCTGTAGCAAAGCGTGTGGTTAATCTTCTCTGTGCTCAGCCACGGGCTTCAAAGTGCTGCCTCACAGGTTGCTCTCAGCCAGTCTGGACGTTTCCTAAACTGAGCACAACTTCAAGCCAGGGATGAGAATATCTGTACTGTCCAAGAAGCTGTGGTGCGTCCACAAACAGCTAATCCTTGTGCTCACTCCGCTCGTGTTTCTGCCTTTACTTTTTACTCTACCGGAGAAGGTGAGTGAATTTCTTTGTGCCACAGTTATGCACCCACTGTTTTCCAAAAAACTTACACACAGAAAGCACGGTTGTCCTATTATAAATGCATAACACAGGTGCAAGCAGGAGATTTATGTTTAAAATCAGACTAGTTCGCAAAGGGTTTGGTCCATCTTTATACTTGTTTTGATTAATCAGAAACTTACAGACATGCTTATATAAACTGAGATTTTTTAAGTAATAAATTTAGTCAATAATGCTAAAAACACTCATCTTCTACTGTCACTACAACCTCAATGCTTTTTACTCTTGGTTAAGCACAATAAAGCTTTTGCTGGGAGTATTTTCACTGTGCATACTCCGTGAATCATCTGATTCAGCCAAAGAGTCAATAATGCAAACCTAAAACTAAAAAGTGATTACTATGTTAATGCTTTCATGTTAACGATGTAAAAAATAATGTCTGTCTGAAACACATATAATGTGAAGGATACACAAGTTACTGAAAACATAACGTGTAATCTGCTTTCTTTTTTCTTGTTAAGTCTTTGCTTTGTTTTTTAGCTGTTTTTTTGTATTATTGCACAAATATTATTGACATGTTACTGATCTTTTTAGGAGGGAAAATGTCTTTACGTGGTGGTGCTCATGGCTATGTTTTGGTGCACGGAGGCTCTCCCTCTTGCTGTCACAGCCATGCTTCCAGTCTGCCTCTTCCCAACACTGGGAATTCTTCCAGCCAAAAAAATCTGCCCTCAGTACTTCATCGAGACCAATTTTCTCTTCCTCAGCGGCCTTGTGTTGGCATCATCGATTGAGGAGTGGGGCCTGCATCGCAGAATAGCCCTAAAGGTCCTCAGTATTGTTGGAGTAAAACCAGCCTGGTAAGAAAATAACTTTATCAGAAGGCAGTTTAAAGCTGATGAGGATTCTGTATTTATCCCATTTTAAGTAATACCTGGAACTTATTTTATTTCCCTGTGTTGTGAACCTCTGTGCTGTCCAGAAATACCTAAGTCACCCTACATGTCCTTTTCACGTCTGTTTAAATAACATTGTCACAAAATATGGTAGCTAGTTAATTCAGAAAATTCTGCAACAGGGAGGGATATAATAATAAAACATAAATGTCTGAATCTTTTGCACAGAACTACATTTAATTATATTTTTATTTTCATACTTAGGGTTGTTTACCGAGTTTAAGATTGTGGACTGAATTGTTTTTCCAGGCTCATTCTGGGAATGATGCTGACCTCATCCTTCCTGTCCATGTGGCTCAGTAACACCGCCACAACAGCCATGATGCTCCCTATCGCAAATGCCATCCTGGAGAGCCTGTTTGGTGATCTGGAAACCCTAAAACAAAAGTGCAAGTCTGTCGAGGATCACGAGAGTGCCATAATAAATGGTACGCTGTCAGTTTTCAAACTTATACTGATGACAAATCAAGGTTTTCTCTGAAATTTACATCTTAATATACTGAATGAAAGTGATTATCCTTTGAGTGAGAGAAAACGTTTGGCCAATTTTAAATCTTTTTTTGGCTGAACCAAAACATTGTTTAATTCAGTCTTATTGTCTTCATAGTCATTCAAGCAGCAAAGGGCATTGCTGTGACAGGGGCGAATGAACATTAAACACTTCATCTTCGAATGAATAGTGAATGAAGACAGGTTGAACGTTTATCATCCAACTGTGTCTCTTCACAAAATGTGTTTCATTCTTGAAAGATGATTGTTGCATTGTTCCCAAGAGCCTTTAATATATAATCTAATATGTGAACTTTGTGCAGCGTTTCCAATGCACTGTCTGACAACAAGTTAGTGAATCCTGAAGTAGTAATGGATTAAGGGGGCTTTGTTGACTCAAAGTCAGCTATTAAATAAAACAAAAGTACACCACTGTAAAAGAGCTGAAACTCAATTTAACTCATGTTTGGACACTTTGAAGATTGAGTAAGTTAGTTTCACATGTAACCCTGAACCCTGTCAAAATCTATTTGATTTATTTTCTTGCAGGTCAGTCTACTGTAAAGCTGCATTCACTGCCCTCAGTGCCAACAGAAAAACAAATAATGGCAACAGAAGGGTAAGAAGCATTTGTGTTTTGTTTTATATTTTTATTTTAAAGACATTTCACTCCTCTGATGTCTTTGCTAAATCATTACACAAACAATAGATGTTGAGCTTTGCTTAGCTTATGTCATGGTTGGCTGTGTGGCAGGCAAGCAAGCAGGAGTGGTGGACCCAAAATGCAGAACTCAGACACTGAAGTGAAACTTAAAGCGCAGCTTTATTGCTGAAAATTGAAAAACCTCGTACTAACTAAACTCACCAAAAGACAAACAAAAGTCTGAACAGAGGAACTGAGGACTGAAACACTGGAAAAGAAATACTAAACTGGAGCAGGAGACTCCATAAAACAGAAAGAAACAGACAGACTTGACACTGAACGAGAGACACAACCTAAGAACTAATCGCTCACAAAGAATAACTGAAACATAGAATAATACTAATAAACAAAGCATGACAAAAGGATCAGACTACAAAGGAATATAAGAACTGAAAATGTACCCCCCCCCAAAGGGTCTGGCTTCTGACAGCCCTAAACAAAAAAACGAAACAAGAGCGAGAAAACAAGAGAGAAACAAAACACAAGGAGCCCAAGAACAGGAATTACTCAAAACAAATCCCACTGGGTCTACCATGAGTCCACTAATCAAAAGGTTCAGGAAGCCGACAGCACAAAAGTCAAACAAAGGGTACTCAGGGGGACGGCCCCGCGGAAGGTAAATGGCCTATATTTATAGTATTTAGTATTTATTTATTTATTGTCATAGTCAAGAACAATGAAATTGCGTTTGGGGCTTCCATACAACCCAAAAAAAAACAAAACAAAAAAAAACAACAACGCATTACTAGTCCCTAAGGACCCCAAAGCGCTTTACATATCCAGTCATCCACCCATTCACATTTACACACTGGTGATGGCAAGCTACATTGTAGCCACAGCCACCCTGGGGTGCACTGACAGAGGCGACAGGTAGCGGAAGGCAGCGGCGGCGGCGACGACAGAGCTGGTCCGGAGGCCGCCCACGATGGCGACGACGCCCAGCCAGTGGCCTGGAAGGCGGCCGGCGATGTTGAGGGGCTGGACGTACATTGGACCGGGCGAAGCTGAAGGCTCTGAGGCAGGACCAGATGAGAATAGCGCTGCAGGCGGCGGTGTGGAAGCCGGAGACGAAGGCGCTGCAGGCGGCGGCGCAACAGGCTGGACGGATCCCTTGGACCCTTTAGCAGAGGGTGACAGCTGGGCAGGCTCTCCAGAAGCCCCAGCGTATGAGGTAGATGCAGGGCCAGAGGTCATTGAGACTACTGGTTGACCAGGTGGGTGAGAGTACAGCAGGCTAGGGGACTGAATTGAAGTCTGAACTGGTGGCCGTTGAAACGGTTGTGGTGAGAGTGGAGTAGGTGATGGAGTAGATGACTGCACTGGCGGCCAGGCGGGTAACTGGGCTACAGGCAACGGGGACACTGGAAACTGAGCCGAAGGTGGCGACTGAGCAGCTAACTGAGCAGAAGGTGGCTGCTGGGCAGGTAACTGAGCTGAGAGCAAGAGAGCAGATGACACTGGTTACTGAGCTGCAGGCAGCAGTAATGATTGTGATGGAGGTTTAGCAGGCCGGGCGGCTAGCTGAGCTACAGGGGCTTGAGCTAGTGACTGAGCTATGGACTGGAAAGATGACTGAATTGATGGCAGGGTTAAAGACTGAGAATACCAAGCAGCGAGGGTTTCTAAGAGGGTGGCTGAGTCTACTTTGCCGGGGCCACCAATGCCAAATAATCCAAAACAGAGCCTCGCTCTTAGTTCTGTTATGATTCGAGACAGCTCACTGATGTCTGGAAAACTCGGGGGAAAACTTGTAGTTGACAGGAAATCATCAAAAAACACTACCTGAATCAGTCTCTTGGGAGTGTCCACAGCATGAATTACAGCCCGGCAATAATCCAACAGCTGCTCTAGCAACTCCTCCTCCCAGCCTAAAGGTGAGTCCACTGGGTCCATTTTGTGGTCGCGTCGTTCTGTCATGGTTGGCTGTGTGGCAGGCGAGCAAGCAGGAGTGGTGGACCCAAAATGCAGAACTCAGACACGGAAGTGAAACTTAAAGCGCAGCTTTATTGCTGGGAGAAACCTCGTACTAACTAAACTCACCAAAAGACAAAAGTCTGAACCGAGGACTGAAACACTGGAAAATGGAGACAAAACACTAGAAACAGATCACACAGCCAGTTGAGGGTACAACACGATAGGGAACACAGGAAAACACAGGGCTTATATACACAGGGGAGTAATCAGGGAATGGAAAACAGGAGGGAGACACAGCTGGGAGGGTTTGGGGTAACGAGACACGAGGAGCAAAGCTAGACACACTGAGATGAGGATCAACCTTTCACAATAAAATGGAAAACAAGAAACAGACACAGACTTGACACTGAACTGAACTTATACTGAACGAGAGACTCAACCTAAGAACTAATCGCTCACAAAGAATAACTGAAACATAGAATAATACTAATAAACAAAGCATGACAAAAGGATCAGAATACAAACCATAATACAAAGGAATATAAGAACTGAAAATGCTGGGTCAAAATGACCCAGGACTGTGACAGCTTACTGCGAAGACTGGAAATGAGGTAGATGTAGTTCTAATGGCAACAAAATCCAAGAAACTATCCAGGTGCTAGTGCTATGAATATAAGGCAAGTTTAAAATACCCAGGATATATTTTCCTCTCTAGCATCATTTACCCTGATATCACGTTAGATGAGAGAGTGGTGTGATGTTCACGTTTTTGTGGTGTTATATGACAGAAGTGGCATATACACAGCCAGACAGAAGACATGTGGACAGGTCTACTTACAGCAGAACTGCAAAGACAAACTATAATATTAGAAAAGCTCTGTACAGTAGTGTAGTATTAAAAAGTGTTGCATGAATATGACGGTGCTGTGGAATGCAAAACTGAAAAAGTGTCATATAAATGCAGACCTTGCAAGTCAACAGACTTATAAGTAACATAATTCTGTCATTAAAATACGAGGACCTGACTGTAACTATAAATATGTTCTGTTAAATTAGCAGGCGATGCTGTTTCATGTGCATCTAAGAGTTTTTGCCTTAGTTTTTCATCTTCAGCCCAGGCAGTGTTAACTGACCCGTAATGAACAGATGAAAACCAAAAAACAGATTTCAGATTGATAAATTTTCTTGGCCTTATGCTTAGGTGCCCTGTTTCAGTGTTGTAGTACTATAGTTTAGGTTTACAGAACAATACGGTTGCTTTAAATTGCTTATAGCAAACAGGTAAAAAGGACCTGTCTTGACTGAGGCTCATCATAGAAAGAAAAGAACTTTAGATGTTCTAGTCCTAGAACATGCTGTTACCGAAGCACTGAAGCCTGTGCATTTTTCAGGAATGGAGGCAGTGATTTTGTACATGATGATCTCTGATTGTGAACATGACCTGCTTTCAATCAGGCTTTCACAACAAGGTTAACCCTTAACTAACCCTTCTAACCCTTCTAAGCCCCAAATCCTGCTTCATAGTGCAGGCATCATTCCCTTCGTCTGTGTTAAATTTATTTTTTAATTACTGAGCTTTACATTTTACAGACTGTGAAATACAAAACTAAGCCAACACATATGAAGTTTGCGGATTCATTTTGCCATACAAACTAAAGAGTAATATCCAGCTGTGCAAACTCTGAAGTTTGTGTAATAATTCACATTTTATGTAAAATAATGCTTCTGAAAGGACTGATACACCAGAACTGACGGACCCGAGGACAGCTGAGGAGAGCCGAGCAGAGGCGCAGTATCAGCTCAAAGTCTGGAAGGGGTTTTTGATTTGTATCCCTTATGCTGCCAGTATCGGAGGAACCGCCACACTGACGGGCACGGCACCTAACCTCATTCTGATTGGACAGCTGAAAAGGTAACTCTTTTGTTTTTGTGTAGCATTTAAACAATGCTGATTCAGACACAGAAGTGATATGTTTCAGTGTGTTTAACAGTTATAATTTTGCCTTTCACAGCTACTTTCCAGACTGTGATCTTATCAATTTTGGCTCTTGGTTTGCATTTGCTTTCCCACTCATGCTCCTCTTCCTGTTTTTGGGATGGCTATGGATTGCATTTCTCTACGGAGGATTGAATACAAGGTTGTGTATCTTTTCTTGCTAAATTTTTCAATAACACCATCAGCATTACAGGATACAAAAACTGGACCATTCCATGAGTAAGGTCTTTATTTTATGAAAGCCAATGTTTACATTATGTGTTCAATTTTTTGCAGATTGTGCATCACAAAACAAGACAGGAGAACCCAGGCAGAAGCCAGAGCCAAGGCACTGATAAAGGAAGATTACAGAAAACTAGGGCCCATAAAGTGAGGACTCGTGTATGTCTTGAAATCTCATGCAATAGATGCTGGATGTAAACTTTCTAGGACATAGTCTTTGACTTACTCTTATTCTGCATTCATGCTTTCAGCTTTGCAGAGGGAGCCATCTCTTTCTTTTTTGTACTGTTTGCCGTTCTCCTCTTCACAAGGGATCCAAAGTTTGTGACCGGCTGGTCTGTGTTTTTTAAAAAAGGGTAAGAGAAGCTGACTTTTAAAACCTTGTATGAAAGCTAGCACATTGTATTCTGGTTCTGTGCTCTATTAGGTGTCCATTTCAGTTTTGTGCTCGTCTTGCTGTCCTTCAGGTACGTTTCGGATGCAGTCACCGGTGTCATCATTGTGTCTATACTGTTCTTTTTTCCTTCACAAAAGCCTTCCCTGAGATGGTGGTCCGACCCTCAAGGTTAGTGATAGCATATCTGCTAAAATGCCATTTATGAGGCATCATTGTCTCATTTCAGTTCTATTTGTTACCATATATAGGATTTTCTGTCGCAATATTACAACTTTGATAAGTCAAAAGTTAATATCTAAGACCAGATATTTGTGGAAAATTCAAAGATTCTGTGTCTCTGTTTCTAGAACAGCTTTTGCAAAACACAGAAATTAAGCTGAGGAATGTTAATAATATAGATTAGAGAGTCTGAGGAAAGTTCCCGTCTGAAAGTGAGACTGTAGTTTCTCTGTTTCTGTGATTAGAATAATCTCTTAAAGCTATGTGGACACACTTTGGGTTTTTTTCTTTGTGTGTTTGTGTACTTGTATTTTGGATTACTCGTGTTGTAGCTACATGCCTGAAACGTCCATTTAATAATCAAATTCTGGTGAATCTTTTTGTCTTGGTGGACAAAAAAAATGTCTTATGGAAATCATTTTATTGATTTGGTTAACTCCAAAATGTGAATACAAATGCGAATCAGCATCCACTAAAACGGAGAAGCGTGTGTGTATGTGTGTGTATGTGTGCGTGTGTGTGAGTGAATGCTTATGTTATGTTCAGCTGGTCAAATAAACAACTTGATGCTGGAAAAGAAAGCAAGCCATGTGGTTCATCTGTCACTGAGGGTCACATTATTCGAATAGAGTGGGTTCACTCTATGTCAAACAGAGTAGGACTTTTAGCTCATTAAACTAAAAATAGAGCAAATAAATACAAAAATATGGTAAAACTACAAAAGAATATTTGGTAGAAAGCACTAAAATGTGTATGTTAACATGCCAAATATATTATATGGTAGACTATATGGTTTGCTGCTAAGCAGTTTGGTAGTAGTTTGATTTTCAACTCATCCATATGTTAACGTGTTCTTCACCACAACCCTAAACCCAGAGATACTTCTTCCGCCTCTTTAAGATTCAAGATTTTTATTTGCCATTTGAGCACAGGACCAACAGTCCATGCACACTGGAATTCTTGTGCAGAGCTCTCCGGGTCAAGTCAAACTTTTTACAAGATAAAGACAAAGCAACTAAAAAAGGAAAATAGAAATAAAGTAAGGAATGGAGATGTTATACTGAGGCAGAATCTTTTACTACTCATTATAAGGTTAACAATTAAGTTTAAGGATTTTAATCTCACATTGTATCGGTGCACAACAGCCTTTACATTTTTCTACACATGATAAACATTTTCTAATTGTTTTATCTCACATTTTTCCTCAGCTCTAAACACTCCTTATGTGCCTCTCCTTTCCTGGAAAAAAGCCCAGGAATCGGTTCCTTGGAATATCATTATGCTGCTTGGAGGCGGCTTTGCCATGGCCAAAGCTTGTGAGGTAAAGATGTTACATATAATATGTATGTAATACATATAATACATCAACAATGTTTCCTGTCTCTGTGCTAAGTTAAAACTGCTATGTGGTGCCTATGGTGGCAGCCAACTTTTTAGCAAATATTTTGGGACCATTTCCCCCAAAATACCAAAGGAAGCTGTTATTTTCAGTTTGCTTACTAATGTTTCTTTAAACCTCTATAGTTTAGAGTGGAAATGGAGGAAATTAAAGTCTACTAAGTCTGTTTATTAAAACGTGTCTCTGCTCTCCTTCGGTTGTCAGTGCTTTGTTTGATTCAAGTTCTCTGTTTTGGTTTCTTATGTTGTTATTTGATCTTCAACCTTTCACCTCTGTCACGTGGCATTCTGCAGGAGTCTGGACTCGCGTCCTGGATGGGAGGCCACCTCCAGCCTTTGGCTCAAGTCCCTCCTGCTGCAGCTGTGATGTTGATCACTGCTTTCCTGGCTTGTTTCACTGAGTTTGCCAGTAACACTGCCACCATTATCATATTTTTACCTGTCATTGCTGAACTGGTAAGGCTGGTCTTCAACCTACATATATAAAATTTTGCATACAGTTTTAGACTGTATGCGAAATTAAAGTGAAAGTACAGTATATCATCAGATTATTTTTTTTATTCCTGTGTTATATTTTAGCTGAGAAAAATATCTTCACATATCAGTTTACCTGTGTGAGGTACAAACTCATTGCACCATGTCAGTGCAATCAAACTGACACAGATGACCATCAGGGAAACAAACTGGACGACTGTCTTACAAGATAAAGAAGTCAAAGTGAAGGGTGAACACGTTTTGCTGTCGACCTTGTCCTTTATGTCACTCAGAGGTTTAGTGGTCTTGTTAAACTTTTGCAATAGATGTTCTTATGTTTGTAGACTGTTGGACATTAACTGTTGTTAGACAATTATTATCTGGAGCTTAAGTACTCCAAGACAATGGCTACACAGGAAGAATAACCACTTAATAGCATGTAATTGTATAGGCTAGGTTTAAACTTTAGGATACTAAGCTGTTATTACAAACACAAACAGGCACAACACACATTTTGCTTTTACTGTATTTGAAGTTGTACACGCGCTAAAATAATAATTTAGTTTATCTTCTGGAGCTAACAAGTGAATGGCATTTCCTATATTTTTATTTTTCTCCCATTCTGCAGTACCTTCATTAGTGGTGTTATTATTTGTTATTTAACTGGTTACTGAATTCCCATCCTTGAGCTGAGTATTTTGGCCATCATCATCTTGTTTTGAAACTGGAAGTTACAAACAATGGGTGGCGCTGACAATAAGACTTAAAACTAGTGATTAAGACCACAAACCCATCAACAAAGTGTTAAAATAGTTTATAGATCGAGGGAGACAAACATCCATTTTCACACAGATCCCAATACAATTGTTTTGTAACTAGCAAAGTTGCCTCCATCTTGATATACAGTCTATAATTATATAGAGTGAACATGTGATCACGTTAACACTAGCATTTAATAAAAAAAATAAAAATAACTATTCTGTACATAGTTAGTTCATATCAGTACTGTAACATGATTTTTCAGAAATGTAGTCAGTGATGATTAAGGCTTTAGGATTTAAACAATTTGTAGGCTAGGGTCCTAAAGCACACAATAAAAGAATTGACTGATTGACCGTTATTGCATTTACAGCCCATATTCGTTTCTTAATTAGTTTCTTAATTTTTTTAAATTAATTTTGTATATTAAATGTTAATTGGACTCCAGAGAGCCATGCAAACCCAACTCCTGTATTATCTGTTTTTGCAATGTATTGCTCCAAAATGAAGTATATAAAACTTTTATGCTTCTGTATTTTGCTGCCTTTGCCAAATGATAATGAATGTTCTTTTCACCTTTGTCCCCTTACTGTACTTTAAATTTAAGATTCTGGATTTTCACTCTGAATAAGCATAATGGGCCTTTTTATACATCCTGTCATAAACATCTTTTCCCTCCACAGGCTATTAATGTCTCAGTGAACCCTCTGTACTTCATGATACCTGCCACAGTAGGATGTTCATACGCCTTCATGCTGCCAGTGTCCACACCACCCAACTCAATTGCCTTTGCATCTGGACACCTTATGGTGAAAGACATGGTAAGATCCTCATTGGCTCTTGACGTTGAAAATATTACACAAAATTACAGCTTATGTTTTCCATTTCTGGTTCCTCAGGTGAAAACTGGCTTTGTGATGAACATCCTGGGTATCCTGTCAGTCACTCTGGCAATGAATACGTGGGGCATTGCCATGTTTAATTTGAATACTTACCCTGAATGGGCTCTCCCATTTAACAAGTCTGCTCTTGTGACCAATGCGCACTTATCTGTGGCTCAGTCGCTTAATGCCACGTTGTGATCACACACCAGATTTTAGCAAGAAGTTATTATAGAAGAAGTACCAGAAGAGTGAGCAGGGAGGAAAAACTGAAGTAGATACAGTTGTGATCAGAGGTTTACATGTACTCATCGTGGGCATGTGTGTCTCTGTAATTTAGGGCCTTTAATGATTTCTTTGAATTCGAGATTTTAATGGGTGGGATGATTACACAGCATACATGTTTCATTGGAATATTTGGGATTTTTGGTCATTAGACATCTACCAATGACAGTGAAGAATACTGTTGATTGACATAAATAAAGTAGTGGGTCACCTAGGCAACCAGGACCTGAAATGTCCACAAGTGACTAGGTGGCAACTTTAAAGCAATATATGCCGTGAAAATTGACCCCTTCCAACTGTACATATATTTCACATACATCACATTGGGAAGACAGGGAGAAAAAAGAACTCCACCCAGACTGAGCTCCTACAGGCAGTTTGAGAACAGAAAAAACACAGCAACACTGAGAGCACATGAACACACCATACAACAGAAAGGACGGGCATCGGAGGCATTTGGAGGGGAGGAGGGGGATTGTACATCTGTCTGTCTATATATTTGAGCCTGTACATATACTTTTGACTTGTGGATTAGAGAAAATCCAAAGTAAATTCAAACTTAAGATGAGATAACCTTTATTAGTCCCTTGTGCACCTAAATATTTTTTTAAGTCATAAAAGACGCTGTAAAAGTCATTCCACCCATTAAAAAGTCTAGTTCAAAGAAATCATTAAAAGCTCAAAATTACCATGACATTCATGCCTATGATGAGTGTATATAGTTCTTCACTACAATTGTTTCTGTACTGTCACAGTCAGAAAACACATTTTTCCAGCTGTTAATGATGCTTTGAAAAGGTTATCATATATATATTTGACTGCCTTTTTAGGGTCTCAAAGGTCTAGATTTTAAGCTGTGAACAGATTTGGTACAAAAATGTTAAGTTTTAAAGACAATGAAGAAATACATGAACTCAGTTAATGAGAGTTGATGTATTGCTAAGTTTAAAAACTGCTGAAGTATTTTACTCTCTGCTTTCTTAAAACTGAATTAGAGCAACATCTAACCTCAAACACATGCTTTGAGCACTGAAGAGTGTTTTATATTTTTTAAATAATCAGTCAGACTGCGGAGTGTGCTGTTTGTATCGTTACTACAGGCTGACCTCTGCTGGAAGAAGGAATGAGACTGTGAATAACACTTTTTAAAGTATATATTATGGTTAAAATCACTAAAAGATTGTTACTTGTTTATGTTTCACATGGCACACTGCTAAAGCCATACCACATAAACAACATTTTAAATCATTTTCTTTATTATATTATGAATCTTGACTAATGAATGTGTAACTTTTGTTACATGGTGATCTGCACTCATATATTGTGCTGTCATAAATAAAGCCAGTTTGTAACTTGATGTTGTTTATGTATTTGTTATGCACAGTTTTGTTTTGTTTTAAGTGAGTTCCCCTGTTTGTATCAGGAAAGTTTTTTAAACTCTTGCTGGAACATTGCGGCCCCTGCACACACACATAGACACACAGTACAAAGCACAAAATTCCTTATAATGTTCTCTTGGTGTTCTCACATGCCCCAACAATTGTTAACTTGTGCAGTAATGTGCTGGTTATTCAGTGTAAGCGTTGCCACAGCAAAAGGTCTGTAGTGTTTAAATGTGAAATCAGAAAAGTTATCCAAAGCTAACAGACTGTAACCAAATGTACTAATTTGTACAACAAATACAAAGGTTACAGGCAAATAACCTTTGACCCAAAGCAGATTCATAACTGTGACTTGATGCTTTTATTTATTTTGTGTGTTTGTTATTCATAAAATTTGAAACAAAAACCAATTAGTATTTAAGACTCAAAATAAATAGGCCTACCTTTTTACCACAATAAGTAATTAAGTATTTTGTGTATCTTCTCTAACAACTCACACTGTGTTCACAGCCGACAGGTTAGCTTACTTGAATAAGTTAAAGTAGGCTTTGAGGAAGGCTTTTAGGAGCCATGGGTACAGCTTTCATTACAAACAGATATGCCAGCACCGAGTATCCATCATAGTCCTGAGTCCTGACTCAGTTTTGACTTCTTATGATCTTTTTAAACTTTTATTGTTTTTAGGGTGTCTGTCTGCCTTTGGGTTTATTGATTAGAATTGAATTCATTTGTGTTAGTTTATTCCTGCCTACTCAATTGTTTTCTGCCGATTACCCCTGTGTATCTTTCAGTATAAATAGCGTCAGGTGTCCTTTATTGTGGTGTCTCATGGATTTGTTATTCTTCTTTGGATTTTTGGATTTTAGGTCCCTTTACCCATTTAAATATGACAGCCCCTTAAACCTGAATTCTTTCTGATGTTCACCTGACTCACTTGGTTCCAACAGAAGTCTAAGGAAAAATAGCTTCGATCTCCTTCGAATGTTTGACCTCATTAAATTATTTCCGTACGTGTTTGTGGTCTCAACACTAGTTTAAACTCTTATTGACTATAATAGAGTGAACATCACAGTTCCTATTAGAGTCCAAAAGGGAACTAAAACAGGGTGTGCTTTCCTGGAGCTGGTGTAACAAAAGTAAGCCAGGATGTCCAAGCTGTGATGTAACAAATTAACAATCCCAAGACACAGTGCCAATAAACTTCCTACGTATTCAAGACCTGTGTGAAAATTATAATCCATTTGGTAGGTAAATAAACAAGGCTTTCGGATTGAAGATGTAACATTAGCTTGTCTGCAGTTTTAGGGTCCTCCAAGGAACCTTGTGATTTTTTTTGGCATTGCTTCCACCAAACCGAGTAACTAAGGACACAGTGGACAAAACGTAAAACACAAGGTGGTTACTGAATGTCAGCTTTTATTTGTTTAAACTTGAAGCAATTCTGATGTTTTCTGATGTTCAATTGGACAGAAAAGAGAAAACAAACCCACCTTCATGGATTTCTTGCCTCCATTCAAGAGCTAAAAAAAAAAACATGTTGTTGCTAGATATAATTGCCTAATATAGCTTATTCTCAATTATATTCTTAATTCTTAGCACCCAAGCTCAGTTGACACAAGACAGAAAGTAAATTTCAGTGGGGAACGTAACAATGACAAACCAGAGGAAAGATGACACACAAAAGTGTTATGTCATCTAAACTATTTTCAGTTTAGAAGAGGAGTTATAAGCAAAGTGCTCTGTTACTTGTATTGTCAGTGTCACCATCATCAAATCATTCTGAAAGCGCACTTTGGTTAGTGTGACCTGCCACATAGGGCTTATGAGTGTGTCATGCTCTCCATATGATTTTGTGTCATGTGTGGTTTAGATGCAGAGGGACTATCTTTTTTATTTTCCCACGTGGAACTTGTAGGCAACCAACATGACAGTGACTGTTGCGCAAAGTTCCCCTTTTTAGCCTTTACAGTCCACCAACACTTCCTGTATATTTTCTCAGGCTCCTAATTTCTTAGAGAGGATGAAGATGATCACAGAAAATTTTGTTTTGCTTGTCAGGTAGGAGTTGATCTATTTTTTTGTTATTTAAATTATTTATATTTAACTGTTATTATTATTATTATTATTATTAAAAAACTTTTGTTTTCCACTGTGTCTTTTACAAACCCAGGCATTGAAAATGCATTATTTGTAAAATAACACGATAGGGAGAAAATAGTTGCATGGTTTTTTGTAACGTGCAGAGGGAAGAAAAAAATAATGTTTTAGTTTAGCATATGTTTCAATACTTTAGCCTTATAGATGTTGTTGTTTCTCCTCTGATCTTGAGTTTCTATAGATTGAGCATAACGTGTTGCTTTTTTAGATGTTTTAGCCTACTTTCCTTTGTCAGACAAGTTCTACTTTAGTGATTTCTTGATTCAACTGGACTAACAATTCAGGGCTGGTGGGAGGAATTAAGCTTTCCAAAAGAGTTAATTTGTGATTTAGGGGGAAATTACTTTTTTTTACATAGAGCCAGGTTTGAATAGCCTTTTTTCCTTTAATAAATGAAATTATCATTTAAACTTGTATTTTGTATTTGTTTGTGTTGTTTTTATCCAATATTCAGATTTGTTAGACGATCTGAAACATGAGACAAATATGCAAAAAAAAAAAAAAAATAGAAAGGGACAAATACTTCTGTACTGTTTAGTGTTAATAAGAAATGCTTAGAGCCACTTCTCTGTTGAATCTTTAAATATTCTAAATATAAAGTGTTGTATTGTTTTCTCCTCAGAAAGAGAGCAGGATCTTGCAGACAGGCCTTAACGTCTCTGCTGTCATACCTCTGGGAAGTTTACTCGGCACCTTCTCCTGCAGGCAGGGACATCCTCACTCTGCTGTCTCTCTGTTTCACACTTGCCTGTGTTACTGGTGGCTTGCTTCACCACTGGCTGTCAAAGAGTCTGAGATATGATTACGAAGCGTCGGTTCAAACTGTCAGTATCTACAGCGTGAGCATGTTTCTGGTCTCCTTCCTGTGTCATCCCCTGCGCTGTGTGCTAACAATGATTCTTCCTACAGTCTGCACCAAACAAGGACGGAAACTCCTCATCACGGCCTCTGTCATGATTTTGGTGCTGAATGTCATCCCTAATATCACAGTAAATGTGGGAGCAGTGGCACGCATCCTGAAATGCACTGCTGAGGGTTTTGCAAAGACTTTATTAAACTCATCTGAACCTTTGAACAAAGCCAAGACAGACCTTGTTGAAGAAGCCATCAAAGTAAAGTGGGAGGACTTGAGCATTGTTACCAACTTAAGGACTTTGGATCATTACACACATATTGATGTGTCAGATGTCAAAAGCATGTTTACTAAGATAATTGGGAAGATAGAGGTCAACTTCTCACATGCCAGGAACCTCCTCAGAGAATACAAACTGCTGTCAAACCGGATTCTTGCTGCCGTCTTTGTTGCACTGCTGATCGCTGAGTCTGCACGCTACTTGAAATCTTATCTGACATCAGTTCATTTTGATAATGGGTACATCTCCAAAGAGCTCTTGCAAAAAATGCCAGTTAATGAAAGGCCAGCTAAAAATAAAATCAATCTTGAAAACTGTAAAGTAATAAGTCAGGAATGTTCCTCTTGTTTCCTATCACTGATTGTGGTAACTTTATATTTCATTGCAATAACCCTAATAGTAGTTTTGGATCATGTTGTGTACTACATAGTTCAGATGATTGTGCCATGGTTGCTGGATTTTCCACCTACATCTGCTGTTATAAGTGTCAATTATAAGGTAAGACAGCACTCGCTCAATTTAATCTTTTTATTTTCTTTTTGGCTTTTTGGAGTCTTTTATAAATTTGTTTTTCCTTTTAGGTTCAGTGGTTCCCCCCTGCGTTTTGTATTATCCCACAATCCTGCATCAAACGGGAGCTGGTAAACTTCCACAGGGATTACAAGTGGAATTTCAGCCCTGGGCCATCTCTCTGTGATGTGACAACTTCAGCTCCAAACCTGGGAGTCACACTCCTGCTGGGATGTCTCTGGCTGATGAGCTACTTTCTGGTTTTCCTCGAGGTTTACGCAAGGCGGTTACGCAGAAAAATCTCTGCATCCTTCTTCAGAAAGCAGGAGGAGAAGAGAATAGCTTACTTGATGAGGAAAATGCATGTGAAGCAAAATAAAAAACACAGAAAAGGGCACATTTCTGTTCATGTGCAAGTTTGAATGACATGTAACAGCTAATGAATAGACTGCTATGGCAATGGGTTGCATGTTTAGACCATTTGGATCAACTTATCTAGTGGTACTTTCACTTTGTGATGTAACCAAAGTCGTGTGGATGTGTAATTTTGTATATTGGTATGATCTGTCCTGTTAGCCTTTTAATTACGAACTCTAATAGAACAGCTTTGCTTGATTCACAGTTCAAAAAGTTATCTTATACTGGGCTTTGGTGCAGCCCCTCTCTTTATTCTCTATCCCTACTCACACCCATCAAAGCCAACTTTAGTTGTTGTTTTTTTTATTTGAGGCTTTTTGCAAACAAAAGGTTCATGCCCACAGAGCTGTGTATTTGTGTCGTATTAAGGCTGTTCAACGACTTCATACAAGAGTAGAAATAACAGAGCTGTCTCAATCCTGACCTTTTGGCTCACAGGGCTCACAATGTTTCTTGTTTCATTCGGTGGTCTTCGTTGTTTCTGTTTTGCAAAATGTAAACTGAATACAGTGCATCCTGTGTATGAGTCACAGTTATAACACCTTTCCTCTGTAAGCGAGTCAACACTCAACATACGCCTCTTCAAACCCTGTGGTTCAAAGCGATGCACCAACACTTCTGCTGAATCTGCATCTTGTTTTGGACAGAGACTCGCCTGGTAACTTTTCCCCCCCATGATATCATCACAGAGCAATGTTTTCTGTGTTCTCTTTTATTTCTTTTATTTCTCTGCAAGTTAGCCTTTTTTTGTTTTGTTGTTGTTTTACCATCCAGCCCCACTAGATGCCACCATGGTGCTTTGGACAGCTGGGGACAAAGACTAATAAGAGGTGGTAGTTCCTGTCAGGAAATGAACAGTAACAGGTCGGATCTTACAGTTTTTGGAACACTGTACTGACCCGAATACCTTTAATAGATTGAATGAATCTGTTTCATCCACATGTTCAATGATTCGTCAGCTTATTTTAATCACAGTGCCCCTATTTCCTTTCTCTTTTGCATATCAGTATGCTCCTGCTTAAAATTCCCATGAGGCTGTGAGGGTTTATTTTAAGACCTCATCCCAGAATATTAATAGACTTCTTCATTGTCTATTTTTACTCCTGACTTTTGGCCACTTCACAATTGTCTCAGCAGTGTAGAGATGATAATAATAAATTATTCATGTTTTGTCTGATATTATGAGTTATTGCTCCTGTGTTACCGTATAATAAATAAAACAAAATAAAAGAAATCACTTTATCATCCTTTTTATGTATATTTTTCATAAACTCTGACTGATACCTTTGACTTGACAAATAATGTGGCCTTCTAAACACACTAACTATAATCCTCATTAAGCTTTCATAACATGAAGCAGTTCAATCAGAAAATTACCTGTTCTGTAAGTTTTTTTCTTCTTTGACACTGTTACATATTCATTACACGCAGTCTGCAGACTGAAAATCCAAGAATCTGCGTGCATTAGTATTCTCAGTGACAGCCTTGTCCAAAGACAGAGGGTCAAAAAGCTTTTTAATCTGTTTTCAATCACTTCTGATTTTGTGGATGACCAGTGTTATCATTTTTTCTGCTATGGGGAGCGCAACTATTTAACAGTATCAGCTCTACCCTCACATGTATAATGCCAGAAGCTGTAAAAGCGTTCCCAAATGTGCATCATGGGAATAGCAAGACTCTTAATCTTAGGATGTCTGTGTCTGTTTGTCCCTCTGGGGAGAAGAATTATTCTAATTCTACACACTTTAGAAAACTGGAGAATTTAATGTAAATTATACAAGGAGAAGAGTTAACTAAATTACATCTGGTGTCCACAAAGGCTGTACTTAATACAGCAATTAGTGCTATTTTAATTGCATGTTCAATCATTCCAGTGGATGGTGTGTTGAATTGCATGGTGCCTGCGCTGTTCTTTCAGTAATTACAGGGTTATAGCCACAGAAGCTGACATGATGTTCAGGGCTTGGATGGTAAGATAAAATTGATTTGTACGTGGTGACTGTAGGAGGTGGGTTTGGATATAATGGTGTGAGATGGAGGGAGGAGTATATTGGGAAAGGAGAGAGAGGGAGAGAGCGAGTGAGACAGATGTGGGCGACTGGAGCAACTCTGAAAGAGGATTAAGCAGTCACTTATATTTCCTGGGATACTGCACCTGGGTACTGCCTTTCACAAATGATGGTAAGCTGCCAATTTTTTCCCTTTATCATCTCATTATTTTATTTCCCTGAACTAAATCAAATCCGAACGTGCATTTTTGTTCCTTCCCGAAGAGTCTGGCATTTGTAGGAGAACTGGGAAAGTCTCACATTTTTGATCACCCTAAATGTATATTGCAGCATTACCTTGTGAGATGATTTTAAATGGTTACATTGCTGGAAATTATAGATTTAGTCTGCATGATGGCTTTTAATGCAGAGGAGAACAATCATTTCAATTTTGAGGGTTACATTTTTTTTTTATCACATCCAAGCATTGAATAAAACCAGTGTTTAATAATGAACTGAATGAAGACAACATTAGCATTTATGAAGATGGGAGTTTAGCTTTTTAGAAGCATAATTGTAGCACCTTTTTAAATCAAGTTGCTGCTATTAATGTGTGCATTGATGGCTGTTAGGACTATTTCTTAAAATCTATTATCATTTACTGAGCTTGCTACAGTTATTTCATGAAGTGTGACAAAGTGATGTTTTCAAGCCTTGTGCCAGAATAATTGCAACAGGAGTCCATATAGGGAGGAGATTAAAGTGAGTGAATGGATCAACAAAGCGCTAGACTAAACATTTCACACAGTATTGTTATTTAAAAAGTGTAACCTTAACAAAATGCCTCATTTAACCCAAACTAGCTTGAACTTAATTGGCTAAGGTTATTGTGTGGGTCATTGTTTAACAAAAGCAATTTGTCAATGCTCATGTTTGTTCATCTTATAATGTATTATTATATTTTGTTGCATTTAGGCTGTCACACCAGAAAACCTTCAGGCGGTCTCTGTTGTTTCAATTTGACTTCTTGCTTATTTATTTACTAATTTTAAATTATTCTTATGATATGCCCCTTTTAATCAAGGCGCATCCGTACACTGGTTTTAAACTGTAGCTGGGAGAGAGAGTATTACACTTTTTTAAAATCTAGACAAGAATTAAAGGCTTTTACGAAAAGAATTGTAATATTGAACACCCTGCAAGCAAAACTGCTGTCTAATAATTTTGTTTCTCCACATTTTTGCCTTGAGGATTCCCATTTTGCCCCTGAAGATTAACTGAATTTTGGCAGCTGGACTTGAGCAAGATGGAGAACAACACAACCACCTTTCAGGATGTCAGTCGGGTTCTAAATCTGACAGAAATGCCTCTGAACCCTCTTGAAGAACAAGTCATAACGATATTTTTGACCATGCTCATTTGTGGAGTTGGGATTGCTGGGAATATCATGGTGGTGCTGGTTGTTCTGCGCACTAAACACATGGTGACCCCGACTAACTGTTACCTTGTCAGCTTGGCTGTCGCAGACCTCATTGTGCTCCTGGCTGCAGGCCTGCCTAATATCTCTGATGTTGTAGCCTTCTGGATATATGGCTACACGGGATGCTTGTGTATAACTTATCTTCAGTACCTGGGCATCAACGTGTCATCCTGCTCCATCACAGCGTTCACTATTGAACGATACATTGCTATTTGTCACTCCATAAAGGCACAGTTCATATGCACTGTTTCCCGAGCCAAGAGAATCATAGCTGGAGTGTGGATTTTTACCTCGCTCTACTGCACGATGTGGTTCTTTTTAGTGGACACAGATGAGACCGTCTATACCAACGGGGTGGTCGTCACCTGTGGCTACCGTGTCTCCAGAAGCCTCTACATGCCAATTTATTTCCTAGATTTCACTCTGTTTTACGTGATCCCTCTCATTGTGGCCACTGTGCTGTATGGGCTCATTGCCAGAATTTTGTTCATGAGCCCTCTGCCTTCGCATCTTAACGACCGAGCCGGAGGCGGGTCAGTTCACCAGGGGCACTCCAGTACCACCAACAAGGCCAACAAGGGTGCAGTCTCTGCAAGAAAACAGGTACTGCTAAGGTTATAAAGACAAGAAGCTTAGAGCAAAAAGGAAATAAAAGTAATAAAAGGGTTTTTTCTGAGTGGTTCTGAATAAAAATCCATAAACAGATTTAGGTTCAGTCCTAATAGGGTGCTTGTTTGGGTTCAAAGTGGCTTTGTGGATGGGTTTGACTATACCACAGCTAAATAACTCAACAGCCTGACAAGATAGTTCATAAACACGCTGAGTATTCCCAGAGGAGGAAACCAGTCTCTGCCATCCCCGCTAACCTGACCTTTGTAGTTTTGAGTGAACTAATAGAAAACTATTAGAGTGTTTGCCATGACATTTGGATTGGCCACTCACATCCCCCTCGAGGTGGGCTGTAATTGTTTTGTTCTTCAATTATGTTTTCATCTAGCCTAAGGAAACAATTGATCAAAATTTTCATTTGTCCAAATTATTTGTTCATAGCCAAAAGGTACCAACAATTCCCGTCAGCTTTCACTGATGAGACTAATTAACAAATGTCTTCAGGGCTAACTAGCAAAAGTAAGCACTATGAATGTCTTCAAGGACTTAAACTGAGTGCTATGATCTTCATATCAACGTATTATTTATCATTTGGCTCTCTGTGATAGCAGACTTTCTCACTGTGGTTGACAGGGTCTTTTATTCTCACTGCAAGCATGTTTGCAAACTATCCTGTCCTTATGTACAGCCTTAGAGCTATTTATGTGCGTCATGGATTCATATTGGGCATCCTCTACAACACTCACTTGACAGTAAACTCTGAGTCACGGCATGCAGTATGTCTGCTGAGATAATTCACATAATTGTATTCTTCCTCATTGTTATTCCTTATTTCCTTCCTCTGCTGTCTCAATAGATAACAAAGATGCTGGCTGTTGTGGTCATCCTGTTCGCTCTGCTCTGGATGCCTTACCGAACGCTAGTAGTGGTCAACTCCTTCATTGACCCGCCGTACCACAACACCTGGTTCCTGCTCTTCTGCCGGATGTGCATCTACACCAATAGTGCCATCAACCCCATCATTTATAACCTCATGTCGCAGAAGTTTCGTGTTGCTTTTAAAAAGCTCTGCAAGTGCCACTGGGGCCACAGGGAGGCCGAGTACAATGTGCCGATGTATTACAGTGTGATGAAGAATTCGACCCATGAGTGCAATGAACCGGTCACAGAGCAAGAAGAAGTCAGTTATCACATCACCCACAGGTCCAACATGACAGATGATGAAGCTCTCAGCATTTCTTCATGAATTTTCCTGAAGAAATGAAGCGTTTCAGTGATTGTGCGTGTTTTATCGGTCCATTGTTACTGGCTGTGGGTGCATGATAAATTAATTATGACAATGTTTAGGTTTTCTGTTATTTGCACCTGTTAAAAAATAACTACTGTGAAATCATTTTACGTGTGGTTTAATAGTTGTGGTACTTTGTGAAACAGTATTGTAACACCTATGTTGTAAATATCAGTAGAGTCTGTTAGTCCATGCGTTCATGATCTCAGTTACCTCGCCAAAGGAGGTTATGTGATTGATTCAGTTTGTTTGATTGCATGATTACTCAAAATGTTATAAATGGATTTGCATTTTACCAGAGGGGGGCAAGGCCCAAATTAGAAGTTATTAACTTTTGGAAATGCTCAAGATCCAGGACTTTTTGGAAGGATTCTTTATCGCAGCACTTTGGATCATATCTTCATAAATACATATCGAATTGAGTTAAGAAAAAAATGGGAGACACTGTCTTGATGTTATCAAGAAAATATCACAAAACATTTTGCAGCCACATATCCTTCAGTGATTCGTTTTACGCATAACGTGGAGGAAGTTTTTAGTCTTGGTGGAGCTATGAAGTCTCCAGCTGCTCTTGTTACAATGTGCGCTAAACAAAATGTATTCGTTCTTCCAAATGCTTTGTTTTAAGACACACTGGGGATTTTATGTAATGCATGCTTTGTGTGCGTAGCTTGCCTCAAGACATTGTCCAGCCTTTGTAACTAGTTGTGTCAAGAGCTCGTTCTCTACAGCTAAGCCTCTGCAATACATGGCTCTACAAATGTTAATAACAACTGAACTTCTGCTCTTAGTGTGCTGAACAGTCTGAAGTGGCCTATACTTTGCGATAAATCACACTTTTTACCAACACCAATGATCCACACACACCACAGTCCATTATTTTTCTCTTTTTTCCCCCACAAAGGACTACATTTACTACATGGAAACAAGATAATATAAACAGCTTAAAATTTACTTTATCTGTGGGCACTGAGCATTTCAGACTGTGCAAGTATATCTTCCATTGCATCCTAATTTCAACATGACTAGAGGTCCATGAAGCGAGAATATTTGAATTCCTGCACAAATATCGACAACTTTCAGTGTTTCAAGTACATAGTAGCAAATTCTTTTTTCTTTATATCCCATTAACCCTCATCGTCTCTTCCCTGAATTTAGACTAACGTATAATGCTAAAAACTAAGCAAATCTTATCCCCTCATCCATCCACCAAAATTATTCCAGACTACAAAGGATTTTTTTTATGCAGGACATGTTTGTATCATTACATTTTCAGTCCTGCAGGAAAGAGGTAATGATCACAGAAAGCCTGATGGCAAACACATCCGTTTTGATTCGAAACATTAAAATACAGCCAAAGGAGATCTAACAACAAGCAACAGTATTAAATAAATATTGTGATGCTAATTGGCATCAACAAGTTTGCACTCTCCCTTATCTTCTTATTGTTGTGGTGTGCTGCCAGCTGTATCAATGCGTGTCTTTGCACCTAAATATATGCAGGTCCATTTGTCACTTAGTATGTAAAGAACCAGTGTGAGGCCCATGTATTAAACATTTACAAATGTTTTGCATATATTGCAGTTATCTATTCTGTACTTGACTATGGAATTTTGTAAACAAGCTTGTGTTGCCCTGTGAACTGGGATTAACAAATCCCCTTTACACATCTAAATGTATTCATTATCTTTATGACAGTTTTGTGTGTTGAATTAAAATAAATCCCTACCATATTATTCAGGCATTTCTTTTAGAAAATAGGGATTTAATGTAGATTTGCTTTTGTGAAGTTGATTCACAAGTACAGTGGGGAATTAATTATTTGATCCCCTGCTGAATTTGTTCTGGTTTGCTCACAAAGAAATGAACAGTCCCAGAAATGCAGTAGTTTCAGTAGTTTCATTTTAACCCTCTCAAGGCAGGCGTTGCAGATTTGCAACAGTTAAAAACTAACAACCTGATTACCCCACATACATATTTTATGAGGTTTTTTTTACTCATAAGTACCACTGCAGGACTTGGTTGTGCATTAGCAACAAAAAGTTCAATTTGAGCCTGAGAGGGTTAATGGAGAGAGACAGAATATCAACCAAAAATCAAGAAAAAATGCATTACAAAAAAATTTATGAACTAAAAGTGAAATAAGTATTTGATCCCCAAGCAAAACCCTACTTGATGGGGAAACCTGCATTGGCAAGCACGGCGGAAAGATACTTCTAGTAGTCGGTCACCTGGTTTTCACACATCACAGGGGGGATTTTGACCCACTATTCTTCACAGAAACTCTCTAAATCCTTTATGTTTCTTGGCTGCCATTTGCTAAATGGCAAAGCTTCAGTCCTATCCACTGATTTTCAAAAGGTTTTAGAATTTCTTCTTCTTTAGCCACTTCTTTGTTACCTTGGTGGTATGTTTTGGGTCATTATCATCCTGGAAAGACACATCCATGCCCCACCTTCAGTGTTCTGGCAGAGAGAAAGAGGGTCTCAGCCAAGATTTTATGTTACATGGCACCATCCATTGGGCCTAAGTGTGAGAGCTGATGTTGTTCGCTACCCTTAGAAGAAAACAGCCAAAAAGCATAACGATTACACGTCCATGCTCGGCTGTGGGGGTGGTGTTCTTTGGGTCATAAACACCATTTCTCGTTCTCCAAACACAGCAGATCGAGTTGATCCCAGAGAGTTTGATTTGTGTTTGAGCACAGTATTTCCTCCCACGATTTCTGTAAATCATTTAGGTGTTCATTGGCAAACTTGACAGGCCATATCTGTGCCTTCTTCAGTAGGAGGATCTAGCAGCACTGCAAGACTGTGTAGCCACATAATGAGTTGGAGAATCTGTAATTCACTGGCTTACTGATTGTAACAGGATCAAATAACAATTTCCCCTACTATTGTTCTACAGGATATTTCAAGCAGCACATAGCTATTGTCCGTTTTCATCACTCTTAATAACCTATATCTGCTCACAATATGAATTAATTCCATATGCAGAGTTTCATAGTGAAGCACCACAAGAGCCTGACAAAGAGAATGAGGACGGAAACCTACAGCACAGAGCCAAAGAGAAGCAGCAGAAGCTGTTGACTGAACTCTAGGGTGTGAAAAAAGGAGCAATACTGTGTGTGTAGGTATAATAATAATACCACATGATTTATAATTCTCTCACATTGTTGTGGAGGACTTCTGACCCACTCTTCTTCACAACGTTGCTTCAGTTCATTGAGGTTTACAGGGATTTGTTTATACACAGGGCTCTTAAGTTCCTGCCACAGCATTTCAATCAGGTTGAGATCTGAACTTTGACATAGTCATTAAAAGAACTTGATGATTTCTTTTTCAGACATCCTAAAACAGATTTGCTGGTGGGCTTGAGAGCAAGCAGCTTGTCCTGTTCCATGACAGGATATACTGTGATAGGTCTCCACCAAACATGGTGCTCTGTATTATGGCCAGACATGTCCATTTTGATCTTGTCTGCCCAAAGGATACTGTTCAAAAAGCCCTCTGAACAAACCACCCAGTGACTGGGCTGTTTAGGTGCAGCTTTGCAAACTGTTGACATGTAGTTTTTAAAGAGAAGAGGCTTTCAGTTCTACACAAGCCGTGCTTGGTTTTGTTTCTCAGAGCCTTTCACAGTCTGACATTGGCATGAATTTACTGGGACATCACACTCCTGAGAAAATTGTAGCAGACCAGACCAGAAACCTGCCAAAATTGTTTTTACAAAGACAAGAGTACTGTATGGGTGACGTAAGGGTGTAGACATTAAACTGTGTACAATTCTGTGAAAATTACACTTTCTTTAAACTGTAGAGTAAATACACATAAAAATGTGTAACATACTCGATCATTTGTCATGCATTGCTGTTCTTACGAAGTGTGTCAGACTATATCACTTTTTTTTTGCTACAAGAAAAACAGGAAAAAATACATCAATTCCTGAAATAGATGAAAGGCTGCAGGCTGCTGTTTCAACACCGTCCCCTGTTTGTTGTCAGTTTTCATAGAAACTGCCCAGACATGCTAAAGAAATGACTCAAAGTAACGCAGACCAAATTTGAAAGAGATCTAATTTCTTTTAAAGCAGCTAGTCTGACTAGTCTTGGTTACCACATGTTGAATTGTTGTTTAAAAACATGCTGTGCTTCAAGCTGACAGTTGTTAACATGGAGTTGTCTGGCTGTAGATTATTCAGTCAGAAAATAACTAGCAAGGAGGTTTCCTGAAAGCAGCCCTCTCCATACAACAATTCTTTAACCTTTAAGGGACAATTTAGTATTTTTATTTTAATTTTAATTTTCCTCTAGAGTTTTCTTTGTCCCAACGATTCACATCTGCGATCCTAAACAGATTTGTCAACTGTCAGTTTTCATGTTAATACTGTTATAACCTTTAACAACATCAATGATTCCCAAATGTCACCAAAACAAGAAAAACATGCAAAAAGCTCAACAGTTGCCATTGTTTCACATCAAATTGAAATGCTAATGAAAAGTAGCTCATTTGAAATTTAAATGCAACTGAGAGAAGAGTGAAGTGTTTAAGGGGTGAAAATACAAAGATCAGATAATGCAGAGTGCGTTTATACAGAGTCAAAGTTCCTGACGTGTTTTACACAGTTTATCTAACTTAGTGGAATCTCCTATTCAGTGTTTCTTTTATCAGTCTTTATGGGAAAAACAATTATCTGCAATCAGAAATTAAGACATTTCTGTTAAAGGGCATTTACTTTTTAATCACAGAACACACAAAACACAAACCACAGCTTGAATAATGAAAAACAAAAACTGGATAAGAGCTGAGTATCTCTTCAGCAGACAAATATGCACAAAAAAAATACGAAGGATATGAAGCCATTTTAACTCAAATTCTAATATTAGAATATTTTAAAACTCTAATTAAGTGGTTTTGATGGTTGAACTTAGCCAAACGGGAAATTAAAAAGTTCTACCA